TTTAATTTATAAAGTGAGCTCTAAAGAACTGTGTATTTAATACCGTAAAAAATGTGATCTGTGCGCTACCAAGTCACGATATAAGGTCTTGGTCAAGTTAATTTACGATAACCACAGTTGCTCCTCGTCTATGCTGGTCCCTTATCTTGTCCTTTCTCGCATCCTTTTTCTTATCCGTTCTCTAATCCTTGCTATAATATTGTAGCGTTTAATTACGATGATCAAGTGCTGATCAAGTCACATTGTTTCCGTTAAATATAATTTTATTTATGCAAATAGGGACTATTTATAATACACATAGTTGCGTTTATAGAGTTGAATCACAACCGAAAATAATTAGTATATTACAGTTAAAATGCGTTTTGTTAGTGAGCAACAATATTAACAATGCATTGGCGCTGGAGGAAACGAATAGGGTTGAAAAAAACACCTTTATTAATATGAACTGCCGGACCCAACTAATATGTGATCATCCAGCGCTCCGGTCCGTGAATTAATTTAATCCTGGAAAAGCGTGAAGGTCGTGTAGGTAATACATTCAGCCAATAACCGTTTGGTGTAGGGCCACAAGTTCTCACGTAAATATCAGGGAATGAGCAAACAAGTTTCATTATGTGAGCCAAGGACAAAATTAAAGAGCGCCATTCTTGCGATCATGCCCTTGATAAAACCGGCTTGTGATGACATTCTGAAGAGGAAGAGGTCTGTGTTGTCGGGGTCTTTGCGAGATATTGGGTGATTATCATGAATATGAATCGTACGATCATCCTTATACACATGTCGTGATCGGAAAATGGTTGCAGGTGATTTGACCCTGAAGGGATCGAATGGTCGGATATGTTTGAGATTGCGGAGGGATCGAGTTGTGGGAGGTGATTGAGATCGTGGAGGGATCGAGTGATCGGAGGTGATTGAGATCGTATCGTGGAAAAGTCGAGTGGTCGGAGATGATTGAGATCATGAAGGGGTCGAATAGTGAGAAACGGTAATTCGCCAGTGCATATATTGTTCATTGAGCAACAAAACTATCTCTACCTGAGTTTAAGAACCAAATTTATATAGCCCCGCTACTCAAGCACTAACTTCCAACAGCACGAACTTTAGAATGCATGGAAAGCTTATGCAATGTTGCTACAAATTCTTTTCATGTAGTAATTGATACTTGGTAAGAATATGAGAATTGTTAGTCATCAACAGTTCGAGTTTAAATATAACTTTCGAAATTGGTCTGTAAATGGTTGTACGTATACTTTCAAAAAACTATATTTCAATTTTATTGCCACATTGTTCTCTCCATGTTCACGACACAATGTTCACATATTTCAGTGGTTTCTAGAATTGACCAATATATTTTAAATATTACTAACTGTTCATTTATTTGCGGAAAGTTTTGTTAAGTTTACATTTATTATTCTTGGAATACTTAGCATACGAAGTAATTCATAACGTCAGCGGCCTTATAAGCCAAGACGCCGCGAGCCATACAACGCCACGTAAAATAGGAGTCGTAGTGAAACTGGCCGGCTATCGGCCTTCCGTTGGCCACCCATAAGCCGGCCATGATTTGGTACAGTGCAAATAGTGGCCGTAAGCCGTTAACAGGGAAGAGGGCGGTAGTTCGTAGCTTGTATCGGACACCAATAATTGCTTTTTATGAAGAATCTGCAATTTTGGAGTCGGCTTTTGAAAGCTCGGCGGATTTACTGATGATTACAGAAATGAATAGGATTATCAGGCTTAGTTAAATGGCTTCACCTGAACATAATTGCTGAGTTGTGGCTTAAATTGTAAGCAAAGCCAAGCAAACGCTTTGGGATGTAGTTAATAAATATGAACTTGGTTGGGTGTATTGTAATATGCACTATCCCAAGAGTTAATGAAAGACAGGATCAATGTACGCTTCGCAATGTTTTCAATAACAAGTCATGAAAATGTACTTAAAAAATTACCTTATCAATTCAAGTAGATAACAAAACACCATAAGCATAATATAAGTATTTCAACGTAGTGATTTTTAAAATTCTTTACCCTGGTCAGTTTAGGCTGTGCGTTGCAATGTATGAGTGCAGGATGTTATCTCAGCTACCAAAAGTCTGCTATAGGCGACACGTCTGTACTCACAATCACTCGATTGTACTTTTTTTATACCGAGTGATTGTAATCACAATCACTCGGCTACCAAACGTCTGTACTCACATCTCACCAGTGATGCAAGTACTGGCGAGCGATAACTCCAACTGCCTCCCACCTGTCCTCAAGCAGCTACTACCCAGTCTTGCCACTAATCAGTTCCTCGGTAGGACTACCCAGCTTTGACACTCACCTGCCTCCCGATGGCACCACCCAGCCCTGCCACTCACCAGGCCCTTGGTGGTGCCACTCAGTCATGCCACTCACCAGGCTCTTGGTGGTGCCAATCAGCTCTGCCACTCACCAGTCCCCCGGTGGCACTGCTAGTGCGGCAGTGCAGGATGGCAGTGGATGCCACCTGTGCTGTCACGACGCTGTTGTTTTTGCTCACAAATCTGTTGTCCTGACTGGCGCTGGCGCGCAGCTCGCGCACCCCGGCGATCGGACGCCTCCAAGTGCCGTCATTTTCATCCATGTTCACCTCAACGTCGTTAATATTGACGTTCGACGTCATGTTTACAAGAGACGTAAAGCCTCCGGTTTGGTTTTGAAGGGAGAGAAGGGTTGTGTAGGAGCCCCTGGGCACCGTATTGGGGCCCAGCCTGTTGTTGACAGGCCATTTGACGAGGGCCTCAGCCGCGGTGTTGCCGGGGCCTTTGGAGATTTGGCCCGAGCCTGTGAATGTCGTCCACAGTCGTCCTTCTGCAGCAATAACAAGGAAAAATAAACCAATTGCAGCGACACTCTAGACGACAAAGAGAAAAAACGTTTTCACATTATACGTGAGAAATATTTCGTTAGTGTGCATGCATGTAATGGATTAGTCGCTGGTATCAAATAATAAACAAGCAAGGAACATGCGAATTTCCACTCCTAAAATTGTGTTTTCTCCACAATTTTGGTCTAATTTAAATTGAGGATATTTAAAAAGAAATCACGGAAATGACAAGCTTGCCTATTAGCAATGAGAAAAGAGTACCACGAAACGATGAATTTCTTCTTAGCAAACGAGACTTTCAACGTCATTCATGTAATTAGCTATTTTATGATTGCGTTAATCAATCAACTAAATATTTTTAACAAATCTTTCATGTGAGTCATTCTAGCTAATACATGGAAAAAAAACCTGCAATTTATATCCGCTTAATGCTTCACTAGCATGTATCATACCCGCCCTATATAGACATGAAGCTTAATCTCTTCAAATTTATATCATGTCCTTAAAAGACTATGATTGCCCATGTGTTGCGGAGATCAGGTAGAGAGTGTGATGGCTTATTTTAACGGCATCCAGCATCATTAACTGTGAAGGAATAGAGCTATTTTTTCATGAGTCTTAATGAAAGACAAGCAAAGGAACATCAGAGAGTGGCGTGAGCTTTGGTTCTGGAATATTGACTAATACGTATTCCAATTAGGAATATTTCTCGTTTGATCTTGCTATAATTTATTTGGGCCAGGAGAGATTGATGGTCGGAGACATTGGCTTTCTCATTACGTACTTGAGTTACGAATGATTAATGTGAAAAGGGAGAAATTCTGCTGAAAATTGCGCGTCTGGCTATGATGTTCCGGTGAATATTTCTGCTGGAGAAACACAAACTGAAGCCTTGACCAACTTATAAAATATAGTTGACTTTCACATACTGGAGATTCAAGTATTTTATTAAGGCTATTACACGTTTTGGGGTAATAAAACAGTTTACATAATACCTATGATTAACAGGCCCAATTCACAAAATTTGAATATAGGAATTGTGAAAAATTTAAAGTCTATAGGTCCAATACTAAGATTTCCTTATTTGAATTTGTACGTAGCTAATGGTACTTGAATCACACACAGTATTAAGTACCAAATTGAGCGAATTTCACAGCCAATATTCTACTTGCACGCATCCTATACCAAGGCTTTGCTCGCTCGATTGCTAATTGCCCATAACTCGAACGGCCCACGCATCCCACACGCAAGGTCCCACTTGCCAACGCACGATTTCATTGAGTGTCGTGGGTATAGTGGCAGGTTCTGTTCCCAGGCGAAGCTAATAGTCATATTGAAATACTTTCTTGCACATCAATCATTAATACAGACTTTCTGCATAAAATGGGGCACGTAGCACATGTTCACGTAGTAAACAGGTAATTAACAGTCTTAGTTCAAGGAGCTACGTTCCATACGATACATGACGATCGATGTCTTCCTCTTCAAGTCCACGTTCTTACTGATACCTATTTATATCCCTATATAATCTCTGATCACAGTTCCAGCACTCTCTAAAACATTCTGATACTAATCCTAAATTGACAGCACATTTAATAAATATAAGCCTAATACCTAAATTTAAATAACATTCAATTTAAGACCTCTACAATAGCGCCAAGGTCCCATCGTTCTCACACTCCAAGGTTCCCACTCCATTCCCATGACGATTTTCAATCGTCTCTTCGTCAAGTATTTCCCTCGTGCACGTCCCGATGGACGCGGCTTTCGCACGACAAGGTTCTATATTCTGGTAATATTTAAGGCTTCAGTTCGCCGAGCTTCTCGCTTGCCAGGGATCTGCTCGTCGCCTGAAGATGCCGTCAGAACCTGTCGAGAGTTCGTCAACAGTTCTCAGGTGGCGAGGTTCTCATCGAAAATCTCTGAGTTCGATGGCAGGCTCGTCTCTTCGATAATTGCATTGGACCTCATTTGTCTCGACGTTGATTTAGGTCACTTGAGTTGATCTTTAACTTGAACCCTTATTTTACCTCGAATTTGAACTCCAAATAAATTCATTCCAAAAGTTCAAATCGAATATTTAAATTAGAACATTCACTTAAGTTTGAACTTAAATTTCACCCACGCAGAAAATGAAACTTGTTTATTCAATTATGCCTGGATTTCGCTTTAGTTTAGCAATGATTAAATTATTTATAGGCCTCCCACTGTGAACAATGCTGAGCTCACATGTTTTAACAATTAATAAATTTAAAAATGCTCCAATGTCTCGTTAACATAAACCGGTAAACCTGTTGCTGTTGGTATTTGTCGAAAAAGGAACGTAGCTTTCACCGCTGTTTCCCTTCATAAGCATTCACAACAAGCAAAGTAAATTATGCTTGCTTTACAACGCAGAAGCGCTTCCTAATTGGACGGAAATCCTTCACATTATCTTTAGCACGAACTCTGCGGGAACAAACACGTATGTTCACTTCTTCGTCATATTCGTGCTAATATGTTATCATTAGCACCCATCAAATTCAGCTCGTCTTGATAACGTGGAATTTAAGAGATGACAGTGATTCTTCCCTCCTGCCCTTTTGGAGTTCAAAGAATTGAACGACGGCAAACGAAAATCTTTGATTGGATCTCGTCATTTTTGTTCAAACTTTGATTTACAAGCTCAAGACTTAGTACGTCAAGAGACTTTAGCCTTAATAGACGTTGGGTCTACAGACTTATGATTGCAGACTCTCGACGTAGGTTAAAATTATGTCTGGAGACACCGGGAATAGACTAGAAAGTTTGGGTGGCCTGCAGACAGTGGTTTTAATATTGAAAACCTCGATCATTGAGTGAGAAAAAATTGTATATATATGCATTCTACATGATATTTTTTGCCAGTTTGCAATAAGCATTAGCCATTCTTAAAAATTCAGCCATTGTTCCAAATTCAGCCATTTTTCCATCATTCACCAGCCATTGTTCCATCATAGTAATTGTTCGCAACTTTTTATGTCGTCATATTTTTCAAAAATATCATTGCCCACACTTTCATATATGGGCTAAGCTCCCACAGTATTGTTCCATGTTTCTGTAAAATCCAAAAGTCGTTCTTTCATCGCTTCGTTTTCTTTAAAGCTTAAATTCAATCGTTGGAGTAGTGCTTTTAAAGAAAAAAATTTGACTTTCGGGGAGTGGCAAGCCTAAAGTGGCGCTGGGTGGCACCACTCACACTCCAGCACACGAGCAGTGGCAAGTCAACGCTGGGTGGCTGGAGTCTCATCACTCATCAGAAGATTCAAATAATGTCCAATGAACTACGTTGAATTATTAGACTTTGAAATTATTTTGTATAAAGATTTAAACTATCCACATTATTTGGCTGCAATAAATACTGAATTAATTTTTTTATTTATCGTTACTCACTTGATACATACATACGCATAGAAATATCATCACATTTTCATCACAGATTCTTCAGCCGATGTCAAAAACAGGTTTTTGCGGTGTTTTCTTAAAAAAATTGCGGTTGCAATATTTTTCTAAACTCACCCCCAAAGAAAAATCACTTAGATCAGCGAAGGCTATTTGGCATTAAATTACTCTATAAAAAAATATTACTATGTCTCCATTAAATTTTAGGGCATTAAATATGATTAAATCGAAGACCTCAAAAGAAGCGTGAATTTTTACCACGTTCCCCAAGCGCCGATGACTTCCGAAGAATGCCAACCAATATGAACGAGGCAGCGGCATGGAATTTCAATGAAATATTACCCTAAGCCGGCAATGAGTTTTACGACCGATGTGACCGGAAGCCAACAATTCCCCATCGAACTCAGGGTAAAAAAAAATATATATTGCTTGGTTTTTGACGGTGCGTGTATAGCGATGAGCTGGCCAGGGCTTCTAATACAGTAAATGAAGCGCCATCAAGCATGGATGGCCTGAGACAAGGCATAATTTAGGGTAATAAAGGTAACTAATTTAGGGTAATAACGGTAATCAGTTTAGGGTAATTGACACGCAGCCAACGTCGAGTAAGGCATGATTTTTGAAGGATGGTAGTCTGAATTTCTTGCTCAACTGCCTACAATTCAAGCTAACAAGCTCCAAATTCCGCGTGCTATAAAGTACAAAATAAGGAGTAAAGTAGCGCTTGGAGAGCACTTATCGCATGAGCGATGAAAGCAACAATGGGTGCTAGTGCAGACTGTTGATACCATAAATAAATTCACATGTCTATTTGCCAGCGGGTCATTCAGACGAAGCCTGCAACGCTGCACTGTTGTTAACTAATCGTCTAATGCTTCAATAGTTCTTTGTATTTCCTTCGAGGTTGAATGTTATTGACTTTTGTAACAATTTTTTTTGTAACAGTATTTTTTGAAAAATGCATGATTTCCTGAGAACTAGAAGTTACACTGATGAAAATGATGAAATTACTAAGAATAGATCGAAATAATTTATTAATTTCATGAATAACTGGCCACAATTTATTAATATTTTATTTATCATTTATGTGAGAATAAAAAAATAAAGGATGCACTTGCCTCTGTCCTTATGAAAATACTTCGATAAAGAATTTGGATCACGACGCGCGCACGCCGCCCACACATAAAACGAGGTAATTTGCTGGACAAGAATCACCCGATTGATGAGCAAAGTTTAGACAGATGGCCAGGTGATGTGTTTATGCTCATAACTTTAAAACTTTAATAAATGGTGACTTGGTGAATTGCAGGCTGGCGCTCGGCGAGATTATCCTCCTACAAAGTTTGAAGAGCCTCTCGCTGCTCACTAAGCTTCGTAATTAAGCTTCGGACGCTGTAAATCCTTTACTGCAGGCCTGAGAATATATTGCACATGATGATTTTCTATGTTTATTGCTATACCCTACGGCATTTCAAACAGGTGATGAATTTCACAAGCACTTTATTATCAATGAAGTGCATGTATAAATAGAACGTCAAATCATTTACTCCATATAATAGGCTCA